AGTGGCAGTGGTAGTAGTAGTAGTAGTAGTAGTAGTAGTAGTAGTAGTAGTCGTAGTAGTGATAGTAGTGGCAGTGGTAGTGGTAGTGGTAGTGGTAGTGGTAGTGGTAGTGGTAGTGGTAGTGGTAGGCGTCGTCGTGGTAGTGGTAGTGGTTCTCGTAGTAGTCTTCGTCGTCGTGGTGGTGGTAGTGGTAGTCGTAGTAGTAGTCGTCGTCGTGGTGGTGGTCGTAGTAGTAGTAGTGGTGGTGTGAATGGTGGTGTAGTCGCGTAGTAGTGCTGCCCGTCATTGCTGCTGTGAGCGCAGGTGTCGCCATCGTCGTGGGCAGAAGCCAGTTCCATCGCCAAACTTACGCCCTAAAGCCAGAACCCTGAACCTGAAACCCCTCAGGCTAAAGGCCTACGCTCTAAATCGATGCCCAAGAAAGCGCCCGGCCAGGAGACGGTCACGACCGGCTCCCAGGCACGGGCCTCATCAGACCTCTGCCGAGCTTTGTGCGCGATTGGGTTGAGGGTTGAGGCTTTAGGGTTCCCTAAACCCTAAACCCTAAACCCTATTGTTGCCCTTGGGACTTCTGGCAGTGGAGAGGCACAGAGAGAACTTTGCGGACCCCTAAATGCCAAAACCTGGAACGCTAAACCCGACGTGTCTGAACCACTACAGCCGCCCAAAGAGCCGCGAAACCCCAAAATTCGCCAACTATGCCTCCAAAGTCTTAATCAGAAAGTACAAACCCCTAGGCCCTAACACCTAGAGACAGCAGTGCCACATCCCCCTAAACCTTAAACCCCAATAAACCCTAAACCCTCCACTTCCTAACACAAAGCATGCAAAAGTGAATCCCCTCCACGCTTCCTGGGCCCTGAACCCATCCATCAAAGCTACCCCAGATTTTAGGTTTAGGGTTTAGGGCTTAGGGTTTAGGGTTTAGAGGGCCCTCAAGACCCTAAACGCCCGAAAGCCTCTCGACCCCTTGAGCCTTAACCTCTGGACCTGACGCCCTTAACTCCTCGACCTCCCAGCGCAAAGAAGTCCTCGCCTTAAAGAACCCTGGGCTCTTTCAACCCTAAACCCTAAACCCTAAGCCCTAAACCCTAAACCCTAAACCCTAAACCCTAAACCCTAAACCCTAAACCCTAAACCCTAAACCCTAGCCCTAAACCCTAGACCCAAAATCTCACAACACCCGAATCTCCGAAGCCGCAGCCGCCTCTAAGCGCCCGGGCCAGGGCTGAACCGCTTAACATAGGGGGGCCTTGGTAATTAGAATAGGGATTTTGGGGATGTTATACTATTATTATGACAAGGAGCCCCCCAAAACCCTATACTAGTTTTTTGGGGATATTATACTATAATTATAACAAGGAGCCCCCCCCAAAACCTTATTCTAATTATTAAGGCCCCTACATTAACCCCAAAGCCCGAAACCCGGCAAGCTGAATCCTCTTCCGACTGAGCAGTATGCCAAAGCCAATGCAGACTAGCCTTGGGGCTGATTGCCTGGACGCCGCAGAAAATCCGAAACCCTACCTCTAATATAGGGGCTGACCCCCAAAAGGATCTAAAAAATAGATCCCCTAATTAGGGACCCTAACTACTAAAGGGCACTTCATAGGAACCCCCTTAGGGGATCTATTTTTTAGATCCTTTTGGGGGTCTGGGTTATGGATCACCAAAGAAAGTCCGAGGCAGAGGACAAGGCCTTGCACTGCAGCCGAAGAGGATGTTGCATATGTTTGCGGTTTCTGAAACTAGGGGACCCTAATATAGTACCCTAAATAGTAGGATCTCTATTATAAGGACCCCAAAATAAGGTACCCCTTGTTTTCTGAAACCCCCATATGTTTGCGGTTTAAGGTTTTTTAGGGTGGAGTCAGAAAGTAGGAAAACGGCAGAATGCACGTGTGTATGCATGTATAGCCTACATATATTTAGGGGTGTCAAAAAACATAGGGGTATCGAAATAAGCGTTCGCCCATGTATATATATATATATACACACACATCTCTCTCTCGCTCTCTTTCTCTGTCTCGCTCTGTCCCTCTCTCTCTCTCTCTTTCTCTGTGCGTGCGTGTGCGGTTGCCCGGGACCCGGGACCCCCTTCTGGCTGGGTTTCGAGCTCTGCCGAACAAGGAAGGTGCTTCGAAGATTTTTCCTGAAAGTTGTGTGTAACTCTACAACTATCCGGAAGTAAGACAGGAACCCAGTATATCCCAGTCCTCCGTATCTTTTCCGTATGTCGGATATTACATATGGGTCGTTTTTCTGAGTTAGGGTCCCTTTGCAAGTCAAAAATATAGTACGGCACCCTTATAAAAAAGGACCTTGAAGGGTACAGTAATCTGAGGAACTATCCACATGGGCTTACGCTCTTTTTTCGGCCTCCCGGGGGCTGGGAAGTTCGGACAAGCCGTGCTACCCTCAACCCTGCATCCTAAACCCTCAAAACCAAAACCCTAAACCCTAAAAGCAAAGCCCTAAACCCTAAAAGCAAGACCCTAAGCGCTAATCCTTAAGGGCAGAACCCTAAACCCTCAAAGCCAAGACCCTAAACTGCATCAACACGGCCCATGGCCATCGCTCCAAAACAGGCGGAGAAGCCTGAAGCGCCGGCGCTGGCTGAAGGAAGCCCCAAGGCGTGGGTTCAGAATTTTTTTTTTTAGGGTTTAGGGTTTAGGGTTCAGGGTTTAGGGTTTAGGGTTCAGGGTTTAGGGTTTAGGGTTTAGGGTTTATATAGTTCACAACCCTGGCCAGGTTTAAGTTTCCAGGGTCTGCAGCCCTCAAAGCGGATGTGGCCTAAGAGCAACTCTCTTCAGTTTTGTTGCGTTGTTCGACTGACGCCTCGCTTAGGCACAGTCACCCACCCTGCCTATTTTCTGGTGTGCTTGTCGGAATCTCTCTATTCACGGGAATAAACATACCACTGGTGCGCCGTTAAATCCTAAAAAATCCTTTGCAAAGCCTCGACAAAAAGAACTCGTAAAGCCCTGTTCTGACTGTCCTAAACCAAAGTCCCAAACCCTGAACCCGTCGATTCCTCCTACTGGGTTTATCCGTGGCTCCGCCGTAGTGCTAATCCCACTAAGCAGGAAGAAATTGGCCTGCAAGAAGAAACTACATCTCAAACCCTGAACTAAATCCCAAACCCTAAAACCCTAAACCCTAAACCCTAAGCCCCAAACCAGCTGAGCCGTAAGCCCAGTGTCGTGTTCCATCGGCCCCGACAGGCTGCCAGTGAAGCAAGCGAGACCGGTGAACCCCGAGCAGGCCTTGGGGGTGGGTTTGGGTTTTAGGGTTTAGGGTTGAGGGTTGAGGGTTTAGGGTTTAGGGTTTAGGGTTTAGGGTTGAGGGTTTAGGGTTCAGGGTTTAGGGTTTTAGGTAATTAGACATGTTTGCCTTTGCCTCTCTTGAAAAGCTGGAGAGATCGATGAAATCATACTGCTAGAGGCACTTCAGAGAGACCTCGTTCAAAGGGTTCTAGGGTTTAGGGTTTAGGGGCCGACTTTGTCATAGTTGGGTAGCATTTTACAGTTTTATAGGTACTTCTAAGCCCGTAACCTTGGTCCCTAAACAACCCGAAAAGCTGAATGTTTAATGCCGGTAAGCGCACCTTGCACTCTCACTATGAAGCAGACGTTTGGGTTCAGGTTCTTGGGTTCTTTTTTTGGGGTCCTTGCCACCGGGTCCGGAAGAACTACGAATGCAATTCCTCAAAGGTCCTTATTACAACTGTACAAAAAGATATATTCAGGAACCCTAAACCCTAAACCCTAAACCCTAAACCCTAAACCCTAAACCCTAAACCCTAAACCCTAACATCATTATGATACCTTCTACATTGGTATTAACATCAGTATGTATCATGAGTAGAACATAGTGGAACCCTTATCATCATTAGTATTACTGTTGTTACTTCCTGAACCCTGTTGAAAGCTTTAGCCCGATGTCGTGCTCAAGGCCAGACTTTGGAAGTCTCGAAGTCAGGAAGTTTTCAGTTTTCAGTTGCCATTGTGCCCATGGCGACCAACGCTCCGCTCCTGGGCAAGGCCGCTCACAGCAAGGCATCGATCTTCTACGGAGCGGATGAGTATCTTGAGGAGCTTAAGAGGAAATATGAGCACGACCGCTACTGTGACAACACCTC